CCCATGACCATCAAAATCGACTCGGACGCCGCGCCACACGTCGACGCACCCTCTGCGGCTGCCACGTATGGCTCGACGGCGCCACGCATTCCGTATTGACCAATCCTAGCGTGCAACCAACTGTGATTGCGAGAGATTACATCCGATTTAAGCGCTTAAATTGACGCCAATGTCCGACAAAGGGGACCCGAGGATCGAGGTGGCTTTCCTCTGTCGAATCCGACCAAGCGAGGAAGCTCTGGGCATAGAGAGCAGTAGAAAAGAGGATGCAGTGATGGTGAGACCGTCCATTTTCATCATATCCTCAATTTCTTCCAAAATGGCCCAGGAAAAATGCAAGCTTGATGCAGGGTGGCTGCACAAGGCTCTTAGCACCAAAGTCCTTGGCTCCGTCCTGCCTTATATCTCTCCCACCACGTATTATGCGTCCTGGGAGGGATAGGAAAAGTGACCAGAACCTTGGCACCTCGAAATCGTTTTTACCAAATCGTGTTTGAGCTCCAGTCAGTGCAGCGAGCCGGGGTTCGCACAAAGTATGTAGTAGCTGTGTACCTGGTCCTGGCCTGCAAAGTCCAGCGCCGAGAGGTTCATGACTTTACTGGTAGTTCCTGCTGGACGCCGTCGAGGGTCGTGGTCTCCGTGGAGTCGAGAGAGGTGCAACGCCAGCTCAAGATCGCGCATGTGACCAGAATATGATTGGTCGATTTATCGCTTTATTTTAGCCAATCACTGGGCATTTCAATCGAGCGAGGGCGCCACCTCGGAGGCGAGCCAGCTCGGTCGCCGATATTGCATTCAAAAATGAAATCGCCGAGGCTTGGCCTGGTGATCGTAGATCCTTTGGAGAGCATAACAGGCTACGTGTCGTCGGCATACGAGGAATAGAGCGCGAGCAATTCAGTGTTTTGTTAATATTGGCATATGCCATATGTAGAGCTTATATTTGGCTATATATGGCGTGCACCTGGGGCTACATACTAGTAGTAGTGGAAGGTAGCTGTCCGAGGCCTCAACTTCGCAAGGGCACTGCGTCTCGGCGATGGGACGAGCACATTTCGGCGGCAGCACAGTAGTGAACGGGTCGTACACTCTTTGCTTCTCCTTGCACGCGTTTCGATGAGGTAGAACGTGGTCTTGTCGCTGGCCTCGAATAAGCCTCGGCGTGGAAAGGCAGCGTCCAAACTCAGCGTTCTTGCTCTCTTAGAAATCGCTCAACAGCCATACCTTGAGAACCCCTCCCGAGTGCACTCGCTGTTTTGATCGCGGTAGAGCATGGTGGGGGCTAAGCAAGCGGGCATAAATTGGCGACATGGCCTCCGCCCCGCACCACATTTGACCGAGAGGTTGGCTGTTTGCTCGCATCGGATGGCCACAAGCGTCTGCTGAAGCTCTACTCCCTTGGACGGCTTCCCGGACCTTCCTCATCGCCTTCAAAATTCGATGGCCGCCGACTCGGGCAGCCATGGTGGCGTGATGACAGAAGGTCCTCGTACCTCTCCTCTCGCTAGCCAAGCCCGGACGCAAAGCTACCGGTAGTCTGCGTGAAGGCGCGCAAGGCTCGACGACTACACGGTGGTTGACCGCCTGTCTCTTTGGAGCGCTCCGATTGGTCGACACCGGTTCTCGCGTCGGATTGGCTGCCTACCCGTAGTCCTGGTCTGGCATGCGAGAGACGCCATGGGAAGCGCGGCTCGAGGGCCTCGCCATCTATCGCGAGCTCCACGGCCACTGCTCGATGCCACGTACGTTCGTCGTCCCGCACAAGCAGCCGTGGCCCAAGCACCTGCGCGGCGCCGCCCTCGGCCGCATCGCCGAGAACGCCCGCTTCGTCGCACTGACGTACGCGCCCGAGCGCTTCGAGCCCCTCGACGCGCTCGGCTTTGCGTGGGCGCCGGGCAACTCGCCGCTGCGCATGCCCGGCGAGAGCGACGGTCGGCGCTCGGTCATCGTCGTCGAGCTCTCGACGCTCGTCGCCGCCCTTCGCGCGTATACGTCGGCCCACAGCGACGTGGACGAGATGCCCGAAGACTTTATCGTACCGAGTAAAGGCGCGTGGCCCCGCGCAGCGGCCGGCGTCGCGCTCTACCACGCGCTGCCGATGCTCCGCAGCGAGTTTTACAGCCTCTCGTCCAAGCAGATGCTCGCGTTGCACGGCCTGGAGCTGTGCACGGACCGCCCGGTGTGGGCCGACGTCCTCTCGCTGCTTCGCGCCTACGACCTCAACGTCGGCGAGAGCGCTGTGCCGCTCGACTTTATCGTGCCCGCCAAGAAGACGTGGCCGAAAGCCTTCCACGGCTTTGCCCTCGGCGAGCTCGTGTGGTTCCTCGGCATCAAGCGACACGAACTGCCGGACGAGAAGCGCGAGGCGCTCGACGACTTTGAGCTCGACTTCAACTGCAAGGGGACGTGGGCCAACATCGTGCACGGCCTCGACGCGTACATGACGATGCTGAGCAAGACGAACGTGCCGGTGAGCTACGTAGTGCCCAAGCACTGGGACGCTGAAGTCCGCGGCATGCGCCTCGGCTACTACGTCGCCAAGCTGCGTCAAGCCCAGGAGCTGCGTCTCCTCCCGAAAGAGACGCTGGCTGCCATCACGAGTCTTGAGGACGACAAGCCGATCGTGAGTCGCAAGCAGAAGGCATCTCCCAGCGCTACGCCTCGGACGTCACCAAAAGCCAAGAAAGACCCGCCGGCGCTGAAGCGACGGGTGCCACCGACGCGCGACCCGTCGCCCGAGAAGAAGCGGGCGCGGGTCGAGACACCGTCGCCAGAGAAGAAACGCGTTGACGCACCGACGCGCCGTGAGATCGCGGGCGGCCTTCCGTGGACCGACATTATCACGGCGCTGGCGGCGTACCGCCTCGTATACGGCAACGCACGCCTGCCGCAGTCGTTTGTCATACCGAGCAAGGACCGCCGGTGGCCAAAACACCTCTGGGGCCACGCGCTCGGGATGACGGCGCAGAACGTGCGGTACCGCCGCCACTCGCTGCGGCCTGAGCAGATTGAAGAGCTCGAGACGATCGGCTTCGTTTGGCACTCGTCTGTGGGGACCATCTCGTGCAAAACGACGACCTTGTACGCGGCGACCCCGTTCACCGCGCTCGTCGAAGCGCTTGACGTCTTTGCGGAAGAGCACGACCACGTCAACGTCCCCGACGGCTTTGCAGTGCCGAGCGGATCGCCGTGGCCCGCCAAGGCCGCGGGTGTCGTCCTCGACGTGATCCCGGCTCGGCTGCGCCATCACTTTTACGATCTGGCGCCGCCCGACGCCCGCAACGTGCACGAGCTCGGTCTGTGCTTGGACTTGCCGCGGTGGACCGGGCTCCTCATGCTCCTTCGGCGCTTCAAGGCGGTCTTTGGTCACGGCAACATTGGCATCGACTTTCACGTGCCGGCCACGGACGAGTGGCTCCCGCGGTGGCACGGACTGCCCCTCGGTGAAATTGTGTACGGCATCGGCCTCACGAAGACCGGCCTCTCGTCGGAGCGCGCTACGCAGCTCACCGACTCGGGCTACGTGTTCAACACGCCCGCGACGTGGGCCCGCGTCGTCGACGGCCTGCGCGAGTACCACCGCCGTACCGGCTCTCATGCCGTGCCCCCAACGTTTGTCATCCCCACCAAGGCGTCGTGGCCCGAAGCCCTCCGCGGTCTGCAGCTCGGACGGTACTACAGCCGGCTGAAGCGAGCACAGCCGCTGCACATGCTGCCGCCGGCCACAGAGCGCGAAGTGGACGCCATGCGAAACCTGGCGGCGCCGCCAAACTCGGCCGCGCTCTTCGCCAACGTCCTGGTCGCGCTGGAGATGTTTCATTCCAAGTACGGACACGTCGATGTCCCGAGTGACTTTCGAACGACGGCGGGACCCCCGTATCCCCGGGCGTGCCGCGGTCTCCAGCTCGGAGCGGTCGTCAAGCTCATCCGAAAACAGAACGTGATCGACCCGCAGCACAAGGCGGCGCTGGACGCCTTTGGCTTCCGCTGGAGCAAGAAGACATCGGCGATCAAGGTCGAGGCGACGGCGCATAGTGTCAAAGCCACGTCCAAGGAGAAGGCTGCTCTAAAGGAGAAGGCTGCCAAGGAGAAGGCTGCTGCCAAGGAGAAAGCTGCTGCCAAGGAGAAGGCTGCTAAAGAGAAGGCTGCGCTGAAGGAGAAGGCTGCGCTGAAGGAGAAGGCTGCAGTGAAGGAGAAGGCTGCAGTGAAGGAGAAGGCTGCAGTGAAGGGCAACACGTCGTCCAAGGAGAAGGCCACAAACAAGGACAATGGTGCAGTCAAGGTCGACAAGCGCGCAGCGATCGCGCCGGCGGATCGCGAGTCGACCAAGCGCCGCCGCGTGCCGGACATCAAGGAGGAGCCAGAGGTCCGCATCAAGCTCGAGGTCGTCCACGACAGCATCAAAGCACCACCGGCCGAGTCGAGCGATTTAGCGCCGTTTAGCGAGTGGAGCTGGGACGAGAAGATCCACGCGCTCTGCTTGTACCGCGTCAAGAACGGTCATCTCGCAGTGCCCGACGCCTACATCCTCCCGCTCTCGTACCCGCGGCGGCTGCGCGACATGCCGCTCGGCAAGATTGTGTCGCATTTTCGCTTTGGCCCCAAGATGCTGCAGCCCGACCAAAAGGCCGAGCTCGATGCGATCGGGTTTCTCTGGCGCGTCTCGGGCGTCCGGTCCCGCTGCTTTATCCGAGCGACCGGGTCGGGCGCGCTCCAGGCAAAGTCCTTGTCATGGGGCACCCAAATCCAAGCGCTCTTAACGTACCAGCTGCTCCATGGAACGCTCGACGTACCCCACGGGTTTGCCGTGCCGTCCAACAACGACGCGTGGTCGATGCCGGCGCACGGTATCCTGCTGAGCCTCGTGCTACCGGCGCTCCGGGACCACTGGTTCGAACTCCCGGACGACGACGTCGATCTCGTGCGCTCGGCCGGTCTCGTGACCGATCTGCCCGACTTTGACGAGCTCGTCGATCTTGTCGCGATGTACCGAGACTCGTTTGGCGACGGCGCCGTGACCCGCGACTTTGTCGTCCCATCGACAGGTGGCGAATGGCCCGACGCGTGGCGCGGCTTGGAGCTTGGCGACCTCGTGTGGCGCGTCGGTTTGAGAGCGCGAGCGCTCAAGACTGCCCAGACGACGCAGCTCGCGGACGCCGGGTATCTCTTCAATGTGCCTGCGACGTGGGCGCGCATCGTCGACGGGCTGCGCACGTACTACTGGATCCACGGATCCACGTCGGTACCGCCGTCGTTTGTTGTGCCCCCGGCGCGCGCGTGGGCGACGGACCTCCACGGCATGCGCCTCGGTCACTGGGTCGCGACGATGACGCGCGCGCAAAACCACCTCCTCCTCCCGCAAGCGACGATCGACGCGCTCGACGCGCTGACAACCGACACGGTCGACGTTGCACAACTGCCATCGCCCGTACTGCCCATCGCTGCCGGTCCGTCGCCCGTGCCACGACTTTTCAAGGCCCCAGCGCCGTTGCCGGCGTCTCCCGTAGCGACGGTCGTCAGTGTCCCAACGTCGCCGGTACCGACGACCAGCAGTGCTCCGGCACAGCATTCGTCTGTGACGGTGCGTCACCCGCCGGTGGCTCCCCTCTCCTACGTGTACTTGGATGACGACGACGACGACGACGACGATGACGATGATGATGATGACGGTGCCAACGACAGTGGCGTCCAGGGTTACTTCCGCGTCTAGCCCCCGCTTGCTATATGCTTGTACCAATACAGCTCAAATGTCCGTTCCGATGTTGTGGCTACTCGGATGCGACAATGCCATGTACCGTGTAGACTGCAGCGACGCATCACCAAGTCCGCAACAGCAAAAAATACTAAACGATCAGCGACTAGGGTTACGATGCCACGCTAGAAACACGTGCCGTTGACCGTGCCGTGGCCGCCGGCGATGCGGTAGCACTTGGTGGACGGGTAGATGGACATAAAGTTGGTCGTCACCGAGAGCAGGAGCGCCAGGACAAACACAAGAATGAGTGTGGCGCCGGCCACTGCGCTCGGCGTCCCGTGCTGCTTGAGGGACCGCAAGGCTTCTCTCTGAGGTGGCAGCAAGAAGAGCCAGAGGAGCCCGGCGAGCCGCACGCCGTACGAGAGGAGGAAGCAGTACGTCACCTGCCAGCGCACGTCGACATCGTCGCGAGCAATGGCATCTTGGGACACGTCAAAGTTGGCGTCCACGAGCTTGTAGAAGACAGCGGCAAAGGGCGACGCGAGGTTGCCGAGCGTCGTGACGAGACCGTACGTGGCGCCTTCGTTGCCGACGTCCGCGATCTCGACGGCGCAGTAGGACGCAACCATGAAGCGAATGCCGTCGGGGATCTTCTCGGCGAGGACGACGCCGGTGTAGAACCACTGGTTGCGGACAAGGTCCCAGACCGTAGCAAAGACTGCAAACGCGTCAATGGCTACGATGCCGACGGTCGAGATCGCGACCACGGTGCGCCAGTTCCAGTGCAGTCCGTAGCGCCCGACGCCGGCCATGATGATAGCCATTGCGAGCGACCCGATCACGCCCGAGATGGCGTCGTTGAGCGGCTCGACGCGCGCCCACGTCTGCGCGATCGGCGCGCTCGGCGTCGCCCCAAAAGACGCGAACGCCGAGTTGAGGAATTTGAAGGCGCAGACGTGCCACATGGCCTGCGTCTGGAGCAGTTGCCAGAACGAGCGGAGCCAGATCTGGATCGGCGTCGCCTCCGACTGGTGCTCGACAAGGCACAGGAGCGTGCTCGGAAGAATGAGAACGCTGGGCGCGAGGCAAAGACCGTACACGACGTTCGGCGGTACGTCAAAGTCGAACGACCCACCGTACACTTTGCCGTTGAGCAGGAGCGCGATCGAGGTCTGCGCCAGCATCTGCCCGGCGTACCGACTCGCATAGATCGCACTCTGCGTGCGCCCGCGCGTCGCGAGCGGCTCGCGCTGGGCGTACTCGACCACCATGGCGTCGGCGGCCGAGTTGGCCATGACGTAGCCAAACCCGACGAGCACCGAGAGAACGATGATGGTTGTGCCAGCGTTCGGTGCGTCAAGGTTGTAGTAGCTGGCGTTGACCAACGGTGATGGGCGCACGGCGGGACACGCAATGAACCGGGCGTCGCAGTACGGCTGCGGAAACGGCGTGAACGTAAGCAGGCCGAGACACACGATTGCGATCGTCCAGCCGAGAAGCATCCATGGCTTGCGGCGGTAGCCGTAGATCGGGACGCAGTCGGAGAGCATGCCGAGGAAGACCTTGAACGACCAGCCAATGTGAATGAGGACGCCATACGCCGAGGTTTGGTACCCCTCCATGTGCAAGTAGTTGTTGAAGATCGGGTACTGCAGGCCGGGAAGGAGGCCGTAGAGAATGCCAATGGCAAAGTACTGCGAGAAGAGCGCGACGGCTTCGGGCGACCGCAGCGACAGCACCGGACTGAGAAGCGGCGGTCCAGCCTCGAGGTCGGTTGCGTGGCCGTAGCTGGCCGACTTGGCCGTCGGCACGAACGGCGCTCGCTCCTCGTGGTCCATAGTATCTGGGCGAGAATTTGCAAATGACTCTAGCGATCTCACAGCAGGACCGAGTTGCGTGTCAAATGAGAGCCAATCAGAACGCAGAATTTTTGTGCGTCGACAGACAAGGGATGACCGCGGAAGCAAGCTCCGTCGTGCCCCAGACGACGGCAACGACCGCTCAAGAAGGTCTGCGAAGCGCTACTGCGCCGAGTCTGCATCTGGGATTCCCAGTCCTTGGATTCCAGACGCGAATTCAGAGCGTAGATGTAGCCGTCGTCTCAGTCCCGTGGACGTCGGATAGTGAAGATGCAGAGAGTTACTCCAATTCTAAGAGCTCGACATCCCAAACTCGGTCGCGCCAGTCGGCGGGTTCGCCCAGCGCGATGCAGCAACAAGCGTCTGTGCTCAGCGACAAGGCCGGCGCCCTGTGGTGCACCGCCATGGCAAGGCCGAGGTACAGTGTTAGTACCATCTAGCTCAGTGCATCCGTAGTCGCTCCAAGCCTCGATAGCACGAGTATAAATTCATATTTAGGGAACAACAATGCAGGTTGCGACGGAGCTTAGAACGTCGATTCGCAGTAGAAGACGCCACCGCCCGTCGGGTTGACAGTGACGACGCACGTGCCGCTGGCGTCGACCGAGCCCGTGATGGAGTAGCGCTGGCGACCATCCGGCGCGGGCGACTTGCCGCCGTTCTTGCCGGGCTGGCCCGGCGGGTACGGGCAGTCGTTCCACGAGGCGTTGCAGCTCGCGTCGAGGCTGAAGTTGTAGCAGTAGTTGTCCGCCGACTTGTTCTCCCACGCGCACGTGCCCGAGTACGCGCACTTGGCGAAGACGTTCTCCTGGACGCCGAGCGTGTAGCCGCCGCTAAAGGGACCGAGCTGGACGGACTCGCCGTTCTGCAGGTCGCCGCGGCCGTTGCCCGTGAACCACGTCGCCGACTTGGTCGTGTACTTGCACACCGCCGGGAGGTTGTTGACGATCTTGATGGCACCGCCCCACTTGCCCGACCCGTTGTTGTTGGTCTTGCCTGCGTTTGGCGCCGGCGCCGGGGCCGACGAGGGCGACGGCTGAGGCTGCGGCTGAGGCTGAGGCTGGGGCTGAGGCTGGGGCTGCGGCTGAGGCTGCGGGGCAGGCGTGGGAGCCTGGGTAGGAGCCTGCGTAGGAGCCTGCGTAGGAGCCTGCGTAGGAGCCTGCGTGGGAGCCTGCGTGGGAGCCTGCGTGGGAGCCTGCGTGGGAGCCTGCGTGGGAGCCTGCGTGGGAGCCTGCGTAGGAGCCTGGGTAGGAGCCTGCGTAGGAGCCTGGGTAGGAGCCTGCGTGGGAGCCTGGGTAGGAGCCGAGGTGGGAGCCGAGGTGGGAGCCGGGGTGGCAGCCGGGGTGGGGGCGTCCGTCGAAGCATCCGTGGGCGCCGGCGTCGTGGCGTCCGTGGTCGGGGCGTCGGTTTCCGTCGTCTCGGTCGTCGGGAGGATCGTCACGAGTTCGGGCGACGACGTCGTCGAGTTGCCACCGATGAGCGCCTCGGTGCCATTGACGTTGGTCGTCTCGATCGACGTGCCGTTGAAAAAGTGCACGATGCTGCCGTTCGTCGTCGTCTCGGTCCACGACTCGTAGACCGGCTCGGGCGTCGTTGGCGCCGGCGTCGGGATCTCGGTGTAGCCTACAAGCCCATTTTCCATAAGATCTTGGCGCTCGTCGCGGACAGGCGCGTACCCGACGTCGTCACGCCGCCTTCGAGGCCTGTCGAGCCGACGGAGGTTTCACCAGCCGGCGCCTTGGTCGTCGGCGTCGCCAAGCCCTACGCATCATCGTTCGCATCAGTTGCCTGTTCCGTCCCAATAATGGAGCTTCGTACGTCGCTCGTGCTCGTGCCGTTGGCACCGCTGGCCGTGCCAAAGTAGGTCACAGCGCCGACGGCGCCGACGACGGCAAAGCCGCAGCCGGCCATGATGAGCATGCGCTTCTTGCGCGCGGCGAAGATCGCGTCTTCGTTCTTCTCCTGCATGACGGGCGTGAGGCCGTCCTCGGCAACGGCCGGCGACGACGGCGAGTTTTGGCGGAAGAGACCCATGCTGCTTGAGTCGGCAAATTTGCAAGTGGCAAATCGAAGCGCGTTCGAACGCAGCTGTAACACGCTGTTACGTCGGTCGCCGATCTCGTATGGCAGAGCTTGCCCCGCGCACGCCAGCTCTCGACGTACAGTGTACAACGTAGAAGCGCGGCCAGGGACGCGCGCGTTAGTTGTGCTGGCGATATCCGTGGTCCAAGCCTGTTACGAGTTACGGCGCTTGAGGCAGAGATGGCGACCGTACAGTGTACGCTGGCACCATTCGCACCCACTACTTTGGCTACCCAGCTACCGGTACTGCTCGCACCGCAACGTGAGGAGCAACGTTGGATGGAGATCAGCGCGAGGTACACATCGCACCAGTGCAGGTGCAGAGCGCAGCGGCTCGAGTGGCGGGGACTTGTGTTAGGGTGAAGTGCTAGGGTCCCAGACGGCTGGTCGAGCTTACTGGTAAAAGTGGGCGGACTGCGAGAGCCGAAGCAGCAGCAACAACGACGTCGTTCGGTCGCTTCTGCTTCTTGAGCTGCATGGACGTTCGTTGTCGAAGCGCAACCGCCTTGTCGCAGGCAGCATGTCAACCAAGTTGGGGTAATGTTAGTTGGGGTTGATGCGCAAAAAAACACCAAGTCCTTTGAGCTACATAAGCGGCGGTACTTCGCCGACGTACTCGTACGTGGCAGCAGAGTATATCGCTGCGGAGGCTGCGGTTGCATCGGAGGTCGCTCAGGACCGCTCGCTCGGCGCCTGAGATTCCGGCAAGACAGATGCCACGGGTGTCGCATGTCCGCAGGTTTGGGACACGTCCGAAAATCGCTTAAAACAGGCTGAAATAGGACATGTCCAGATTGAAGCGCCAGCAGGCAAACCGATTAACCGGCTAACCGCTGCTCTTGTTTTGCACATGTTAACCGTTGAAAACCTAACCGCTCCGATATCGGCACCAAGCACGACCTGACCCAAGTCCCTCCCACACACTCTCCCACACGTATGATTTAAGCAATGTGCATCGCAGGCTGACGACATGCCCAGACCACAAATCTGAGTCGCTCCAGCCACCCGGCTGCGTACAAACCACAAAAGTCAAGCAATACGCTAGAGCAGTACGAATTCGACTCAAACCACATTTGCAAGCTGAGTCGCTCCTCTGACGAAGCCGTGTCCACTGACCCATTTTATCGCGAACGACTAAGCTGCTCAGCTTTGCAACGCTAGTAGAGACACCCCAGAAGCCACGGAAGTAGTGCCACTGCTTTGACACCGGGCGGCGGTGCAGTTGACGCCCTCCCAGGCGGCTCTGGCGCACGCTCGGCGATCTCATTGTCTGCGTTCGCTGCTAAATCCCGCCATTATAGCGCGATTAGAGCGATGCCAGTCGCAGCAAGCGCCGTCAAGATGCCAGCGTCGAAATGCAGCTTGAGAACTACTGGTATAGTATAACTTTCCGATTGGAGCTGAGGACGAGCGCCTTGCCACGCCGCCGCCCTCGACGCCTTTGCGCACTGTACGAACAGCCAGACCGCGCTTCGCTGCAGAGCGCTGTGCCCGTGCGGCGCTATGCTGCGCCAGAAGGTCGGCGCCACTGCGTTCCATGGGACAGGCATCGGCGTCCTTGCCGTAGAGCGTCACAGCACAAGAGGTAAACCAAAATTCACACCATGTTAACGGGATGGCGTCCAATGAGACTTTTTGTCTTAGGGCTGCGGCGGCACGAGCGGCGACTGCGCCGTGCGGCCGGCTTGTGGTTGGTACGGGTTGTTGGCCGGGTTCATGCGCAGGTTGTTGTACGGGTGCGCGTTGAACTGCGGCCGCAGCGGCATCCGGATCTCCTGGTAGCCGCGGTGGCGCCGGCGCTGCGTGCACACGAGGTAGAACGAGAGGAGCACGAGCGCAATCTCAAAGCCAGCAATGACGCCGACGATCGTACCAATGAGCTCACTACGCAATAGGTCGTAAATCGCAAATGGATACTTGGATAGGATAGATAGTGTAGATACCTCTGCTCGTCCATCCACGCAACGAGGTTAGCTTCGCACGAGCAAAAGAGCGCTTCCTTGGTCAGCTGCGTCGCGCTTGCACCGTCGGCCATGTCCTTGGCGCACTGACGGAAGGTCGAGTTCGGGAGCAGGTCCTGCTTCCGGATCGAGCAGCGGTTGGCCGCAAACGGGGCAAACCACTGGTACGACGGGTCGGTGCCCATGCACTGCAGCACGACCGAGCCCACTTGGAGGCTCTGGATGAGGTCGACCTGCGGCTGGCACGCGTCGTACGCCTCGTTGAAGATCGAGTGGAGGCTCCCGAGGATGATCTGGTCGTCCTCGGACAGCAGCGCCGACTGGTTTGCGTAGCTGGCTTGCGAGATGTTGACCAGCGAATGGTGCACGTGCAGCATGAGGCCGGCGAGCGCAAACTGCGCGACGACCGACACGGTCACCTACGAGAGCGTCGTGCCCACTGCATCCGCCAGCATCAGGCGTACCAGCGTCGCGTACGGGCAGAGGAAGACCTTGCTTTCCCAGTGCGCGCCGCAGCAGCCGAGGAGAGCGATGAGCACGATGAGCACGCCGCACGCCATGACGGCGCTCGAGATGCCATCGGCCGAGAACGCGTTGAGGTCGGGGACGTGCATCATGTAGCCTACGCGCGCATGAGATGCAAGAAGACGAGCTTGATGGCCGACCGCCGATGACGATGAGGACGCCGCCGAGCACGAGGAAGAGCACATTCGTGAAGATGAGCACGAGGCGGCTAAAGCTGCGGCACTGCATCGCTCCTCGACGATCGCAAGCGAGATTGACCACGCGGGCAGAAAGGCCGGTTGGCCGCTATACTTTTATTCGCCACTTGGCAATTGTATGTGGAATTAAACGTTCAATTTAAAATATAACCTGCCGGCGGTCTAGTCAGTGGCATGCGACACGCTGATTGGCTCGCATCTCGAAATGGATGGGTTTTTGGCCAATGGCATCGCTTGAAGAGGCAGGCCGAGCGTCGCGCCTACTGCAATGTGGTCCATGATGGTCCATCCCAGCCTGTAGTTGGGATACAGCAGAGGGATACAGCGGAGGAGGCGGCTGCTGGCTGCTGCTGTCGACGCGGGTGATTGCTGATGACGACGCATCTCGCACCTGCGAATTTTGCACCCAGATTCAGCACCGCATCGCCAGGATGTGCAGGAAGGGTTGCACCTGACCATGGACATGGACACGGGCGTACGCCCCCTCGTCGCTTGCACGATGGACCATGACCTCTGCCTTGCCTAGTGGCTTTGTGCTAGCAAGCGCAGTCTCCACGATAACCTCGAGTCGAATCGCAAGACTCATGCGATAGTCCAGTATCGAGAGCACGCGCCACAACGACGAGTCATTGGGAGCACTAAACAAAACTATGGCGCCAACAACGGCTTGTTAACGGTACAATACTGGCAACAGCGGTGGAAGAAGGCTTTCGACAAAGTCGAGGACGGTTGGCACGCGGTGGCCCTCGGTTTGGCTCGGGATATAATAACGAACTCATCAGCAAAGTGTGGGTTTAGGATCTAGACGGCTGCACAACAATAATGTCTTATTTCACTTGGTGGCTAGAACGTTTCGTGCAGCGGAATGTCCTTGTAGACGAGCTGGAAGCGCACGACGACCGACTCGATCTCGTGGCGAAAGGCAGCGCAGCGCGCCGACGCCGTCCACGTCGACCAGTCGTCGCCGTCGGCTTTGACAATCGGCGACCGGACGACGGTGACTTGGATTTCGAGCTGCCCGAGGGCCGCGCGCGCTTGGAATCGGACGCAAATCGCATCGGTCGAGCCCCACGTGTAGATTTGAATCGTGAGCAGCTGGTCGTCGTGGAGCCACGCGCGGTAGTCGCCGTGGAGGTACCCGGCCACCATGGTCATGGACGCCTCGCCGTTCGGGAAGACGCGAAAGACGTGCGGGTGTCCGTCCAGCACCATTTCGCTCCACTGCGTCGGGTGCGCTTCGAGGTCCGACCGCATCTACGATCTCATAGAAATCGTCTCAAAGGCAAAGTTTGCAAGTTACGTGCAGCGACGTGACCGAGAGCACCCACTGGAACGCGTACGTCATGGTGATACTGCGCACGATCGTGATGACCGACGGGTCAAACGCACTCGGGTCCATCGAGAAGGCCGACGAGAGCGTCTCCTGGAAAACCCAATGGCCGTTGAGCAACGACGGCACCAGGTTCCGGACCGGCGGCGTCGCCACGGGCACGCCCTAGTCCCCTGCGTCAACCCTCACCCTACATATTGTCATGTACCATGTAGACTTCGCGCAGTTGCGCGACAAAGTTCTCAAAGCCCGTGATCGACGTCGTCGGCAGCGCGTTGTTGGTCGTGAGAGCACCGGTTTGGGACACGGCGTTGATGTGGGTCGCGAGGCCATCGAGGGTGAGGAACATGGGCTCAAGGAGGTGGTTGAAGTAGCGGTAGTGGAGCTGAAGCCACTCGAGGTACGCGTCCTGGAGCGCTTGCCGGTCGAGGAGCCGCGGTGCATTTGCTTGCATGAACTTGGATTGCTCAAACATCGTGTCCATCGAGACGCTGGCGAGGAAAAGGTCGAGGCAGACCGTCGTCAGTGCCTCAATAGACGACGACGGACCGACGTTCGCCGGCGGCGGCCGCATCCATCGCGGAAACTTTACCCGGTGCGAGCCCCAGCGGGCGCCGAGGGGCTGGAGCAAGCTCCTTGTGAGCTGGTCGGCGATGCGGTCGTACTTGCCGGCGAATGCGTGCGACGGCAGTCGGTGGAGAAACGACATGACCGTCCCGAGCTGCCTTTCCATGGCCATCGGGTCGACGGGTCGCGTCGCAAGCGCCATGCTCGGCCGCGGCAGAGTCGGCGGCGACCCGACACTGCTTCCGGACGACGGCGGTGGAGACGACGACACCTGGCGCGTGTTGAACTCGCCGTCGCACTCGCAACCGGTCGTGACGACGCCGCCGCGGTGCCTTTGACAGTGGTAGCAAGCGCGCCGGTACGACATGATGATGAAGGACGGCGAGAGCGCGACGCCGACGACATGGAGCGACTGTGGGCTCAGTCGGCGAAAAACATAGGCCTATAGAAGGTCTGTTGGTGACGCGAGTTCCGAGAGTGTGCACTTCGTACGACAACGCGGTGGGTGGCCGTGCGGTGGGCTTTGGTCGACGTGCCCATCCAGCCGTAGTGCCACCCGAGGAGGTTGTTGTGGTTGAACCGGTACGTCATTGTAGCCTAGTACGCCGTCGATGAACACCGACGCACCGCCGTAGTTGTCACCCTACCGCGTCCAACTGTCTCGAGTCGCTCGCGATCCAGTCGCCCTTGATGTTGGCTTGGCTGCGCGTGCTGTGGGCAATCGAAGCTTCGTCGACGACGTCGCCGACGGCCAGCACCCGGTCGGTCGACGGCTGAAACCGAAGGTACGCCATGTCGGCGTGGATGTCCAGCGTTGCGTTCGAGACGACGACGTCGAGCGACGTGGTGCAAAAGTTGGCAAACGTGTGTTTGGGGCAGCAGTGCGGAAAGCACCTATTCCGCTCTATCAATACCAGCGGCAAAGAAGAGAGACGCACCGGACGAGCTTGACGCTGCCGGCGCGGTGCGTGCGGAGGTACTTGTGCTCAAAGAGCGAGGCGCGATTCGCGCACTTGCAGTCGTCCATGCCAAAGGAGACCGCCCATGCTGATGTTGCAGTCGACATGGTCGTCGGTGAAATCGTAAGTGCAAACTCAACTTTATGTTGGCGCTTGTCCCAGCATCTGCTGCGCGCTCATTGGGTCGACCAGCGCGATCGGCTGGACCGACGCCTCTTCAAGAGTGTCCCGGCACCGCCACTCCCGCCGCCCGTCGCCAGGTACCTTGGTCGGTGCCTTTGTATGGAGCACCGAGGTGTCCTTCTGCACAGCGATGACAAAGCCGGCCTCGCGCGCCATCTTTACGCCGGGTCGGCATACGGTGTATGTCACCAAGCTCATATCAGACGCGCCATAGCGGATTACTTGTACCGAGTCCTCCCACTGCGCACGTCGCCAGACTCCATTGCTGTGGACTAGCCCTCAATCGCGTCCTGTGCGGCCAAGCATCGAGGTCCCTCGAGCTCCTCGCCTGCGATGGCGCTCAGCAGCCCAAGAGCTCTCAGTCGAAAGATTTCCTCACAGTCAACGCAAGTGGTCAGTCGAGTGCTCAGCAAAGTCGCCAGATAGTTCTGCTCGGCCTACGTGAACACGGAAAGGACACTTTACCGCAGCACGATTCCGTGGGACGCATGTCACGTGCGACGGCGGCGTGCAGCTTTGTCCGTGCGGACATTCAAGACTCGTCCATCGACTGCCATTTGCCCGCGTAGCTGGCAGTGTCGGCGTGATTCGAACCAATGCTTTGGCCGTCAGATGGCCAAGCCATGTGTGTCCAGTCGGACGTATCACGTCACATCGAACGGTTTCCGGTGCCGATGGCCGTGATAACGCCGAGGTGATGGGCCTTCGACGACGACGAGGATCGGCTGGATCACGCGGCGGCCAAGTTGCACGCAAGGCCAAGCGACTGTCCCACGTTGTCGACGCAAAACAACGTTGCTGCGAAGCCATTTACATGTGGGTTTCTCGCTGGGTGGTCTCGGGCGAGTCCGCCATACCTACAAGGCGCATTCGATCCAAGGGTTCTGACTGCCTTCTCTTCTAGAGACTAGAGCACGTGCTCGGCTTCAAGCCCAACGTCGTCGGAATAGCCACGATTGCAGGTGGTCGAGCGGCGTCCTTCACCAAGATTGCCCGATACACAGTGTTATGCAGACGCGGCAATCCACGAGACTCGATTTCAAACCCCATCTGTATCCAGTGTCAACATCCTGTTTGAACCAGTGTTTGTGGTTGAAACAGCGCAACCGATGACGTGGCGGCTTGGATATTGTGGCTTGGTTTCAGTATTGGCCTGGATCGTCGGGGAAGTTCCCTCGAATCTCGGACATCGCGTTCTATTTTCTTGCATACAAACATCCAGTGTCTTGAAAAATCGAACTGACGAAACACGACGATGCAGCAGCGGAAGCGGGCCGGGCCTCGCCAGCTCCTCGAGCTCGTCAAGATCACCCATGCTGTGCAGTCGCTGACGTCCAGCTACACGTACCTTCCGCGCCGGTACACGGTTCCGGCGGAGGCGCCGTGGCCGACGAGCCTGCGCGGCAAGACCGTCAACCTCACCACGTTCTGCACCGCGTACGCCCAGCACAAGCTGCCGCCGTCGATGCAGTCGGCGCTCGACGCGATGAACTTTGTCTACGACCTGCGCGACCTCAAGTGGGCGCAGCACCTCATGGCACTTCGCGCGTACAAGGCAATATCCGGCGATCTCGACGTCCCCGCTGACTTTGTAGTACCCTCCAACGACGCCGCGTGGCCACGCGACATATGGGGCCTCAAGCTCGGCCGCGTCCTCTCGAGCCTCCGCGCCAAGATCACCGAGCTGCCGGACGCGCGCCAGCGGCAGCTGCAGTCGATCGGGCTCTTGGCAACATACGACTCGTGGTACGATACCTTGCTGGCGCTGCAGGTCTACAAGAACCTCCATGGCCACATGCGGGTGCCCCGAACGTTCGAAGTGCCGGGAGACTCGCCCGAGTGGCCCGACGACCTCTGGCACATGAAGCTTGGCATGAAGGTCGCGTATCTCCGCGCGCGGGCCGAGAAGCTACCTCCCGCCAAGCGTGCGCAGCTCGACGACCTCGGGTTCCTCTGGTGCGGCGCGGTCGAGTGGGACCTTCTGCGTCAAGCGCTCGTGACGTACAAGGCGCTTCACGGGCACACGCGCATGCCAGCAAACTTTACGATACCGGCGTCCGACGCGCAATGGGCGCCCGAGCTGTGGCACCTGCCGCTCGGCGAGGAGGTGCACGCGCTGCAGACGTCCACGACCCTCTCATCGGACCAGGTTGCCGAGCTCGAGGCCCTCGGCGTCCTCGGCATCCTCCAGCCCAAGACAATCGACTGGCCCACCAAGCTCGCCGCGCTGACCATCTACCACGGCCTCCACGGCCACGCCAACGTGCCGCACCGCTTCAAGGTGCCCGACCGCAGCGCACTCTGGCCGCAGCGCTTTTGGCAGCTCAAGCTCGGGGCAGTCGTGCAAGGCCTGCGCCACAGCCCGCCGCCGAGCGCCGACAAGATGGACGCGCTCGCGAACCTCGGGTTCGCGTGGACCGTGAGTGCGTACTCGTGGGAGAACAAGCTCGTTGCGCTGCACAGCTTTGGTCGGCTGCACGGGCACCTCCGCGTGCCGGGCGGTTTTGTCGTACCGAGCGACAAGGCGTGGCCGACCTCGACGTGGACGCTCAAGCTCGGGCACATTGTCAGCGGCTTCCGGCGCAACCGACGCCGACTGACGCTCGCGATGCGCGCGCAGCTGGACGCGCTTGGGTTTCTCTGGCACGAAGCGCTGCATTGGACCACGTTCGTGGCCGCCGTCGCCGCCTTCCACGCGCTGCACGGCCACGCCAACGTGCCCTGCTCCTTTGTCGTCCCTGCCACCAAGATTTCATCCACCAAAAAGGACAGCAACAAGAGCGACGACGACGACGATGCGCTGTGGCCTGCCAGCGCTGCGGGCCTTCCGATCGGGCGGTCGCTGCGTCGACTGCGGGCGCTGGCACACGCTGGCTTCCTCGACGTGGCGAAAAAAGCGGCGCTGGAAGCGGTCGGTGTCCGGTGGCGCCACGAGGCGACGGCGACGGTTCCGATCCACGCCGCCCTGACCATCTACCACCGCATTCACGGCCACGTCCGCGTGCCACCGACGTTTCTTGTGCCGCCTGTCGACTCGGCGTGGCCTCAAACGCTGTGGCGCTTCCGCCTCGGCGCGTACGTTGAGCTGCTTCGGTGCGCCGAGGACGGAGTCGCGTCCAGTCTCATCGCGGAGCTGACGGCCTTGGGCGTGACGCACTGGAATAGCGCGGTGGACGCTCAGTGGAGTACCGTCTTTGCCGCGCTTTCGTTGGCCAAGAGTCAGGAAGGCCACTTGGATCTGCCATCGCGCCTCCTCTTGCCGGTCGAGTGCGACCTGTCGAGCGCGGCGTCGACGGTGTCGTTGGAGCCCGACACGGCGGGGATCGATGTCGGCGGTCTTGTTGCCCGGCTCCGCGCGCTTCGGTATCTCTTGCCTCGCGACCGCCGGCGCGAACTCGAGGCCCTCGGCTTTCAATGGGCATCGCCGGCCGCAGACGACGTTCTCCGCGTCTACCGCCAACTGCACGGTGACGTCGACGTGCCACCGTCGTACTGCGTCCCGACGCTCGACCCGCGCTGGCCCGTCGAGATGGCGGGCTACCCGTTGAGCTACAGGTTGCACCATGCCGTCGCCAGTTCCAGCCCACCAAACTCGACCTACGCGACTGAGCCGTCGTGGGCGCTCGAGGTCGGCGCGCTCCAAGTGTACATGCGTCAGCACCGGTCGCCCGACGTGCCGAGCGACTTTGTCGTACCGTGTGACGACCTGCGATGGCCGTCGGCGCTGTGGCGACTGCCACTCGGCGCCCTCGCCCTCACGTGGCATGCGTCCGAACCGTATCTCCCGTTTGCCCAGTGGCGCGACTTGACGGACGCCGGGTTTCCCTGGGCGCCGCTGGACGTCGACTGGGACGTCGCCTACGCCGCCTTGTCGACGTACGCGCGTCTCCACTCGACGCATTGGCGCGACGTACCGTGGACGCTGACTGTGCGGCGCGGCGACACGGCGTGGCCGAGCGAGACGTGGGGCTTCCGCGTCGGCTATTTCGTCGCCAAGCTGCGCGCCCACGACGTCGTCTTGCTCCCCACCGAGTGGGCGATCGTCGAAGCGCTCGGTGTGCTGTCGTAGTGTATTAGTATTTACAGGGTTAGTGTAATAAATAGGCCGACGAGGGTTAGGTCTCGCCCGCGTCAAAAACATGCTCGTTGAGCCACTTGAAGCGGTCGCGCGTCACACGCACGTGGCCAGCGCGCAAGCCGTCGACGCACGCGCCGAGGTCGACGCCCCAGAGGTCGGTCGGCCAAGCCGCAGATCCCGACGGTACCGTGTAGTGCGGCGGCACATTTACGTGGCCAAAGACGGCGCAATACGCTTGGAGCCCGCGGAACCAGCGAGCATCGATCTCGGGCATTTGCACGAAGCGCAGTCTCCCGAGGGGTAGGTTCCAGAGCGCGGTCGGCCAGCGCAGGTCGCCTTCCGGCACAGTAAACGTCGGCCCGAGGACGCGGTGACCGCAAAGTTGCTCGTAGACGTCATAGGCGGCAGCAACGTCATCGTCGGCCCACGCGTCGTCCGTCCAGCGAAAGCTGAGCGCTTGGAGGCGGTCGCACACGTCGCGTGGCACCGACGACCGGTCGGCGCGAAGAAGCGCGACTTGGCGCCCGAGGTCCATGCCACCGACGTCGCGCGGCCACTCGTCGCTGTGCGTCGGAATGAAGTACGACGACGGGACGTTCACGTGGCCATGACGCGCGGCGAAGGCGTCGATCGCGGCGAGGACCCGGTGCGCCGTCGCTCGCGGTTCGTAGTAGACACCGGCGTCGTGCAAAGCTGCGAGCAGCGCGAGGTCGTCGGCGGCGATGCGCGCTACGGCGTGGACCCAAAGGACGCCGAGCGGGAGGTACCAGAGGTCGTCCGGCCATGCTGCCGTCGCTGGCACGACAAAGCCAACTGGGATCTCGTACGACGCGTTGCAGAAAAGCCGGTGGTACGTGGCTGCACCAGCGAGCACGATCGAGGTCTCGTGCTCGAGGCTCGTGTTGAAGAGGAACCCGAGGCGCCGCAGCTCGTCGCGCCGCGCCGGTGGCAGCTCCACACTGCGCAAGAGGCTCGCAACGTGCCCGAGTTTGATGTCGTGGACGCTGTCCGGCCACGGCGCCGCATCGGGGATGACAAAGTCGTCGGGTACGAGGACGTGTCCGTGGAGTTGCTTGTACGTCGCGAGCGCCTGCATGTTGGTCTCCCATTGCGCAAGGAGCAGCTGGCTCGTGCGGACGCACCACACAAAGCCCAGGTCCTGGAGCTGCTGGCGTCGCGCTTCCGAAAGCGCGGCCTGGCCCTTGATGCGGATATTCGCCACAACCTTGCCAAGCTTGATCGTCCAGAGCGCTTGTGCCCACGCGCTGCCGTTCGATGGGACGTCAAACTCGAGCGGGACGCTCGAGTGGCCGTGCAGCTGGCGGTACGTGGCGAGCGCAGCAACCTTGAGGTCCCATGGCACCGCCGACGTCTTCCACGAGTAGCCGAGATCCGTGAGCGCGGCCTTTTGCTCGGGCGAGAGCGCGTCGGCGCGGTTGCGAAAGTTGGCGGCGACGGACCCGAGCTTCATGCCCCACGTGTCGGGTGGCCACACCGGGTCGTCGTCGGGCACGATGAACGAGTGCGGTACCTTGACGTGGCCGCGCAGCCGCTGGTAGGTCTGCAGCGCTAGCAGCTTGATCTCCCAGCTCTGGCGCCGGCGCTGGGCGACGACGACCACGGACGGCGCCGTCGCTCGGTCTCGCTTGCTGCGCATTCCGGTCCTGGAATCGACTCGTCCTCCGTAAGTGCGATCTCCATATTGCAATATTCATACGCGCACCGCGCCTTGCACCAATATATAAATATCCGATATGCAATATGGTCGCAATGACATGGACAATAATAGCAATAGGATACGATTTCCATTTGCAATAGTCCAGCTCAGCTATCGGCAAACGAGAAACCAAGTCGTTCGAGGAGCGTGGCGTCGGACCGCCCGAGCGCCACGCGCCCCGCGCGAATCTGCTGCAGGACGTCGCCGAGGGGGTAGCTCCAGAGCTCTTCGGGCCACTCCCACGCGTGCGCCGGAACGACAAAGGTCGCTGGTACATGCACATGCTTCTGGGTCGCCCTGTACGTCGACAGCGCCAGGAGGCAGAGGCTCCAGTCGACAACGACGTCGGGCAGCGCGGGCGTCAGTCGCTGCAGCGCGGCGCCAAGGCGCAGTCGACGCACGTCGGCGGGCCAGTTGTTGTCGTCCGGGATCACAAATATCGGGCTCACGTGCGAATGGCCAGTGCGACGTTCGTAGGCTGCAAGCCCTTCCTGCACGAGCTCGGCGGGCGGCCGGTGGACGCAGCGGCTCGTCGTCGCCGTCGACGCGTGCCAGTGGGCGCCAAGCGGAACGTTCCACGCTTCGTGGGGCCATTGAGCGTCGTTGGCTGGCACGACAAATGATCGGGGAATGTTCATGTGCCCGTAGCTGCGGTAGAACATGTGGCATGCCCGGAGAAGCGGTATCGACGGCGGCAGCGGCCGCAGTGCACGGGTCTCGTCCGGCTCAAAGAGCTCCACGGGGGTTTTGTCCGTCGTGGCTATATGATCGACATCCATACGAGCAGTGCCATCGGCATCCATACGAGCAGTGTCGTCCACGTCGATACTTCCCGAGTCGTCCATGTCGATGCCGCCAGCGTCGTCATCATCCATACCCCAAGTGTCGTTCTTAGACTGCGTTGGGCTCGGCAGTACTGGCTCGTCCGACACTGGCGAGCCGACCGAGGCGTCGTCCGGCGCAGCAAGACGGACGATGTTGAACCTCGGCGTATGAAGACGCAAGCGCAGTGGTGACACGGGACTCGGACTGTCGTTGCCATCGGGCGTCACATCTCGCGGCCGAGGTCGACCCGGCGGCGCCATTGGGAGCGGGGCACTCTTTCGTTTCCTTGACACGATGAGCGGCCTCTCGCTGCTGGATCCTGGCTGCTTGGGGTGACGGGTTCTTCGCGCCATCGCGGCGAGCGTTTTCAGAGGCGCAATCGGGGTCGTGATCGGTCGCGAAGGGCTCAGCGGACTCGGTAGCAGCCGCTCGTCGCTTCTCCGAGTCGACGAGGCAAAGCCGAGACTCGTGAGCGACTGCTGGACGTGCGGTACGAGGCTGGCAAAGTGGTCGCGCAAGACGCGGGCAAAGAAGCCGAGCGGCATCCCGAGGAGGCTGCGTACCCACTTGCCACCGACGCTCGGGACCGTATAGAGCAATGGCACGTCGCTGTGGCCAAATCGGCTTTGAAATTCGTCGAGCGCCGAGACGACCACGAACCAGTTGTAGCGAACGTGCTGCAGCGACGGCGGCGGCACGCCTGGAACGCCCAGCGAGGCGAGCAAGTGCGCGTGCACGGCCGTCATGCGGCGGAGATACACTCGCTGCTTGGCCAGCAGCGCCCCGAGCGCCAGCTGCCAGACACCTTCAGGCCACGGCGCATGCGCCGGGACCACATACGTCGGAGGGACAGCCGCATCCGCGTCGACGAGAAGCTTGTACTGCGCAAGACCGGCGTCGACGTCGCCAAAGTCGACGGCCGTCCACTCAAAGTGGCGTCCGTCCAGCTCTGCCTTGCGCGCCAAATGCATGTGCTCTTTGCACTGTCGAATCCACTGCACGACGAGTCCGAGCGGGAGGTGGTGCGTCTGCGGCGGCCACGGCGGCGCGTCCGGTACAACAAACGAGAGTGGGACGTGGAGATGCTGAAAGACCGCATCAAACGTCGAGAGCGCGTCGAGCTTGGCGGCCCAGCGCGTCGCCGGGTCGAACCCGAGACACTTGAGACGCTCCTGGTACCAGCGGGTCGCAAAGCCTTCGTGGACCTCGAGGACTGTCCAGTAGTAGCCGCACGGGTTGTCGCTGAGCGACGAGAGCGCAGTGTTCTCAGGCACGGGCGTCGGTGTCGCCTCTAATGCATCTTCGAGCGTCGGCCAGAGCTCGTGCGCCCAGAGGTCCCAGACAAACCCCAGCTCGTCGAGGGCGTCGATGCGCACGGCGTTCAAGTCTCGCTGGCGGCGGCGCAGCGTTAGCACCTGGTCGCCAAGCGGGTAGAGCGCAAGCCAAGGCTCAGTGCTGTCGAGCACATAGTCGTCGGGCACTAGAAGATGGCCAAACCGGCCGTGGTACTGCCGCAGCGCCGAGAGCCGCGCCTTCCACTCGCACTCGTCGTCGAAGTGCTCGATGGTCGCCGTCCAGACGTCGTCGGGTGGTCGCATCGTCGCATCGTCGGTCGTCGTAGGATCTAGTCCCAAGTCGTCGTCGTTGTCGTCGACCACATTTGTGGTGCGGTTGCGAAGCCATCGGAGCGCCTGTGCCGTCGCACGCGGTAGCAGCTGGAGGCGATCCGCCTCGACGAGCCGCTCGACCCAGTAGCCGAGGTGGAGGTCCCCGCACCTGTAGCCGGGTGGGACGTGCACGTGACCAGTGACGCCGACATAGTCTTCCAGCGCAGAGACAACTGCGCTCCATGCGGCGTCCGAGCAGAGGTCGATGTCGAGGTCGGCCAGCTGCCGCTTGCACGGCCGAGGCAACAGCGGCTCACGGACGCCAAGGGTCCATGCGATCTCACCGAGCTTCACGCCATGGCTCTCGATCGGCCACGTCATGTCGTCTCGCGGAATTACAAAATGCACGGGCACGGCGCTCGTGTCGAAGCGCTGCAGGTAGTCGCTGAGAAGGTCCAGCAGTGTGGTCCACAGTGGTACGCCGTCAAGGAGCCCGAGCGACCGGGCGTCATTCGCATCGTCCTCCAACAGCTCGTACGCGTGCACGGCAAAGGAAGGCAGCGCGTGCGCTAGCATGAGCCCTTCGTGCGCCCGGATCCACGGCCGGCTAAAGGGCGGCACGACAAAGTCGGTTGGGATCTCAAGCGACCCGTAGAGGTCCCGGTAGAGTCGCAGCGCGCCGAGGATGACGACGGCCGGTCGAGCGACCGCAGCTTCGCGCCGACCGCTGGTCGGTGGCGGTACGATGATGCAGCGGACGTGGCCGCGCTTGGACGTCCAGACAAACCCCATCGCGTCGAGGAGCCGGCGCTGCTGGAGCATTTCTGGCGACGCGCGGACCTGCGCAATGACAGCGCCGAGACGCAAGCCGTGGAGGTGCTCTGGCCAGAGCTCGGTCGACGGTACCATGTACGAGGCCGGGACGTTGCACGACCCAAACACGGCCCTGTACGTCGCAATCGCTTCGAGCGTAAAGTCGAACGGGACGTTGATCTCGAGTGGCTGCACCTTGATCTTGATCTCGTCCTTGGGTGGCGCCGAGATGCTGATCCGCCGACGCTGTCGCGGCCCAAGCTGCGACGCTGGCGTTTTTGCTCGGCGTTGACCGGGTGTGAAGTCGTCCTCGCCGCCTGAGATGCTGCTATCCCCCGAGCTCTCACTCTCAAAGCCGTAGATGACCGAGAGATCCATCGCCGGCAGCTCGCCGGGCTCCATTGTCTCCTCTGGCGAGTCATCAATGTACACGTACGGGTCGGCGCCGTCGACCTCGGACTCACTGCCATCGTCGTCGTCGCCGGGCTGCTCGACCATGGGGCGGGCGCGGACGATGGCGGGCGCGGCTGGAGAGTTCGGCGCGCTCTCTTCCGACGACGACTCGACGGACTCGCTCGAGGACTCTGCATGGATCGCACAGAGGTCGCGGAGGTCGTCCATCCGAGGCAATGCGGCCAACGAAAACCCAAATGCCAGGATCGCCGCCTGAAATAGCCACATTTAACCGCCACAATTAGCCACAAGTAGACACAATTAGCCACAATTAGCCACAATTAGGCATTGGACCCGACTTGACTGCATTTGAAATGACAATAATGCCCATGGCCAAGAGGATCACTCAGGTATCGCTGCGCGTCGGTCCGAGAGCTTCCTACTTCTAGTCGGTAGCGACAATTATGTATATCAAAATCTTTCCAACCAAAACTAGCGACGACGACGACTAAATCTAAATCTACGCCATCGATGCGTCCGACGCTGTGGGAGTCGTGGCGTCGGCGAGGCTGTACTGCGTAACTACCTGCAGCACCTCGACTTCGTGCTCGACAAGGTACTGCTGGCAGCGCTCTTCGACGACCATGGACGCCACGTCGACAGGCCCGGCGACAAACGACTGGCGCACCGACACATCGAGCGTCCGAGACGCGAGCGAAAGCGTCAGCAGCACCGCGTAGCAGACGCGGCTGCTGTCGCTGGGCCACCCATAGAGCTTGAGCGAGACCGTGTCGGCATCGAGGCGCATCGCCACGTAGTCGCCGTGCTGCAGCTGCGAAATCGGCGCCATTGACGACTCGCCGTTTGGGAAGACGCGAAAGACGCGGGGCACTTGGTCGAAGACAAACTCCGACCAGACCGTATCGAACGCGTGGAGGTCCGAGCGCACCTACGCTTCAGTGCTGAGGACGCACGATGAGTGCTCCGACTACCTGAAGGGCGGCGTCGGTCACGCGGAGCTGGAAGCTGTACCCCATTGTGATGCCCCGGAGCAGCGAGACCACGGAAGGGTCCAACTCTGGGTTCGAGTCCATGTACCGGTGCCCCACGACCTTGTCGAGGACCCAGTGCGCCGAGTACGTTGCGGGCGACGCCATCTGCGCGCGCAGCGATCCATCCGCCTGCGTCATTGTATCAACTTTGTATCAAGCACCCGAATCGTACCATGTAGACTTCGCGGAGCTGGGCGACATAGTAGTCGAAGCCGGCCGTGTTGGCGGTCTCGGGCGCGTCGAGCCCGTCGAGGTAGACGCGGGTCGAGTGGAGCTCGGGCACCGAGCTCGCCGCGTGCGCAATGTGGCCGGCCACGTGCCCGAGGTGCGTGCCCAGCGCGCCGAGGCGGGCGTTGAGAAGGTGGTAGTAGTTGTTCAGCCACGCCACGTACGACTGCGCGAGGTCGCCGCGCACGAAGAGGAAGCCCGTGCTCTGCGTAAACTGCTGCACGTTGTGCAAGAGCACGTCCGAGGACCCGAGCGTCGCGAGAAGCAAGTCCACCGCGCACGACTTGAGCGAAATCAGATCGTGCGCGACGGGCGACATGACCGGGCGCCGCGTCGGGATCATCGGGATCGCCATGGCCCGCTTCCGCGACGCCGAGAACCCGAGGCGGTCTCCGAGCGGCAAGATGAGGCTTTTCGCCAGCCGCGCCTCGACCGCGTGCAGTTGCGGCGCAAAAGCGTGTGCTGGCGGCAGCTGCAAGAGGCCAAAGAGGATGGCAAGCTGCCGCTCCATCGTGCTCGGGTCCAAAAGCGCGTGGGCGGGCGGCGCTGGTGGCCGCGCCGGCGTCGTCGACCGCATTGGCGACGACCCGATTGAGAGGCCTTGCATGACGTTGAACTCGCCTTCGCACTCGCAGAGCGCCGGCGTCGCGTTCGAAGCGCCGTCGGCGTCGCTCTCGCGGTGCTTCTGGCAGTGGTAGCACGCTCGACGGTACGACATGACGATGAAGGGCGGCGAGATCGTCACGGCGAGGACGACCAAAGACGCACCCGACTTTCGCAGTAGGTAGCCCTGTCCACAAGGCTTGAATGCACTAACACCAAGGGTTGGAGGATGTACCACGACTTGGTGGGTGCACGTTCGGTGGGCCTTGGTCGACGTCCCCATCCAGCCGTAGTGCCACCCAAGGTTGTTCTTGTGGTTGAAGCGATACGTCATGGTTTGTGTCGCCTACAGCGTTGCATCGTACCGACGGATCGCAGAGGTGCGGTACCTTGTTGTAGTATTGGTACTCGCTCGGGATCCACTCGGCCTTGTTGTCGTCGTACCGGCGGAGGTGCAGTAGCACGTCCTGCGCGTCCAGCTCGTCGCCAACCTTGTACACAAACTCGGACGTCGTCTGGAAGCGCACGACGGCAATGTCGTTCTCGACGTCGGGCGGCGCGTTTGTCGCGCGGAGGTCGATGGACGTCGCGCAAAAGTTGGCATACGAGTGCGACGGGCAGCAGTGTGGAAAACACCTACCATAGATGCTCGCGTCGCATCCGCCGCATTGGCCATTCATCGAGCACATACCGAATGAGCTACGCGACGCATGCCAGGGCGGCGACCATGAGTACTGGGACATGATGCATCGACGTACCTTGACACTGTTGGCGCGGTGGGTCCTAGCCGTCGCCGCCGGCGTGAGTGGCCCATCCCTTGGGTGCAATCGGTCTTACCGGAGGTACTTGAGGTCGAAGAGGGGTCGGTTGCAGCGGCAGTCCTCCTTCTCGAAGGCCAGCGCCGGCGCGTCCATCGTCGCTGATGCTGCAGGAACAATGAACTGTTCTCCGGGCGGCGCGGCCAATCCGGATACGCCGGATAAAGACGCATACAATTCCCCACAGTGGTGGTGTGGACCGTATAAAACTACGATTTTTTTAAAACGCTGTCGACCCCAAATTCATTGACGCCAGAGACTATTCCATACATATTCCAAGATGTACGGAGGAAATGATGTAAAAAAATACGTTGGGATCGCGAAAAATGACGGTCGAAAGTCGACCCTGCGACACGTGGGAGCCGGTATTTTAATGGAAGATATACAAACACCAAGTCATAAAATACTGTCAGACCGGACGGGCCATGCGGCGGCGGTCCCACTTTTGCATATGTCGCTGGCAACTTCAAGGCTGAAATATTATATTGCCGGTGACCGATATATATTGAGCCCAATGTATACCGTTCGAAAATAATTGCGTGTCTACAGTGCTGACCATCGAAGCGCGGCTGTCCATGCAGCGAAATGGGTACGTTTCATGCGATGGGATGTCGCTTCGAATATCGAATATTCACATACGAATATTACAGCGTGTTGTCGCTCCTCGCGACGAGCATATTGCAACCGCAGCGCGCTCTAGCATCCATATATTCAATATGGCAGCCGGTCGTTGATGCTGGGATGTGTCTTTGGCGCCCGCACTCGGCGCTTTGCCAGTGCAGCCGACGGTGGATGACGTCAGTAAATGGTGTAGGGTCTACTGCCGAAGAAGACTGGAATAATGCTTGTGGACCGAGGGCGAGTCATCTTCATCGCCACCCATCGCACGCGACATGCTGATGGGACATGGGCGGCTGCCGGCACCACCGCAGTCATCTCGTTCCTGGCGTTCGATTGGCCAGCTCGGGCTCGTGAGTCCCGGGACCTCTGTCGTCCTAGACTAGTCAATAATCTGACAATATTGCGAATATTGTGCGCATGTACAATGTTGCGAAGTCCCGAGAGCGACGCGCCGGGCGGCTGCGGCCATTGACGTCGTCGGCGTGTCCAACTCTGCGGCCGAATGACCAGTTTTCTGTCAAGTGATGATGACTAGCGAAGGTTCGCGAATTTCGCACGCATTTCCCACTTTATTTCGCACCGTGCTCCGAAATCACACGCTGTGTTTCCACTTCCTACACTCCTTCCAGGGACCCTACTCCTTCCTGCCCCTCCCACGGTCGATGACGAGAGTCGATTGACGCGAGCTGATGGACGCATACAAAGACCCTAGTCTCACCCAACACCAAGTCGTCCTTAACCAGCATGTACACTTCGACCAGGATCCTATTGCAAATGCCGTTTCAAACTCACGTCAGGCAATGTGGTCTCTCGACCCCTACCCCCAGACGGGGGTGAGCTAGAGAACAGCACAACTTGTCATCATGACGTGTTTATTACGACACGTTGTGGTCCGGCCGCGGCTCGTACACAACGTGATAGGACACGACGGGGGTTTCGCGGGCGGCGAACGCGTCGATGCGGGCGGCGGCCGTCGACGTCGAAATGTCCATCGGCTGCGTCAGCACCGCCCGCGACACGGCGACCGTCGCGTCGAGGGCCTCGTCGTCGGCGACGAGCGTCAACCGGACAATGTGCGCGGCGCGGTCGTCGCCCAGCGGCCAGCTAAACAGCTGCAACCGGATCGTATCGCCGTCGACGTCGCCGGCGTAGTCGCCGTGACTCAAGCCCGCGACTTGGCACAGCGACGACTCGCCGTGGGGCAGCACGCGAAAGACGTGGCCGACGCCGTCGAGTTCAAACACGGCCGGGATCGTCTCGTACACGGAGAGCGCCGAGTGCACCTAAAGCGTCCACACGTTTTGAACGGCGTTCGTACAAGTGGCAGTACCGAAAGCGTCGTCTCGTCGAGACGCGCGTCGAACGCAAAGCCGATCAAGGCAGCGCGGACCAGCGATAAGAGCGCCGGGTCGTCGACGCCGGGCGCATACGTGTGGGCGATCGTCTGCCGGTACGTCCAGTGCCGCGTAAACACCGACGTGGCCGGCCGTCGCGGCGTCGGTGCCGTCGCCTACATCGTCGGTCTACCGGTTGTTGTATTGCGTGGCGTACCAAAAAGACTTCGCGCAGCTGCGCGACAAAGTAGTCGAACCCGGGACTTGCTTGCGCGTCCATCTTGTGGAGCTGCGTGAGCTTGGTCTGTACCGGCCGCAGCTCGTCGACCTGCGACGAAAGCTGCACGATTCGCGCCACGAGCTGCGTCAAGTTCGTCTCCGAGTGCCGCCCCAAGTGCGAGACGACGACGCCGTGGATCTCGGCGAGCCACGACGCATAGGCTTCGTAGAGCTGGTCGCGGTTGAAGAGGACGGCCACGTACGAGCTAAAGAGGCGCGGGTTCACGTCCAGGAAAAAGTCGAGCACCGAGCTGAGGATCTCGAGGCATAAGATCTGGATGGGCTCCACTAGCGACGTCGGGCGGCGGGCGCCACTCGGCGCCATCAACGGCGGGTGCTCGGCCGTCGTCGCGCCAAAGCGCGCCAGGAGCGGTCGAAAGAGGCGACTTGTCACGACGCTTCGCACCCGCGCGTCCACCAAGAAGACGGACGCCGGAATCTCCTGCACGAAGAAGAGCAGAATCGCCAGTTGGCACTCGGCGAGCGAAATGCGCGGCGCCGACACGGTGCCGGACGCCATCGAGGCGACCGAGAGCGACGCCGACGGCAACGGCGTGTTCAGTGCGCTGCGCCTCGGCGCCGGTGTCTCGGGCAAAAGCCCTTCCGAGACGTTAAACTCACCCTCGCAGTGGCACGAGTCGCCGTCGCCGGACGCTGGCTTAGCTTCGGACGGCTTGTGCTTCTGGCAGAAAAAGCACGCGCGGCGGTACGACATGACAATGAACGGCGGCGACGGCTGCACCGCGAGGACGCGGAAGATCGACGCGGAGACAGGGCGCAAAATGTAGGCCTAGTATATATCACCTCGCTGCGTCCGCATCTGACTGGTTCGTACGACGAGGTAGTGGGTGCACGTTCGGTGGGCCTTGGTCGACGTCCCCATCCAGCCGTAGTGCCACCCGACGCTGTTGTTATGGTTAAACCGAAATGAGAGCTCTTGATTTTGCTGCAGATGGAATGATGAGCGCCACGGTAGCGTCCAGTCGTATCGTACCGCGTTGTACTGGCCCATGTGGCTCGGGATCCAGTCGCCCTTTGGGTTGGCAAGACTGCGCACGTCGTCGAGCACGGCGCGCTGCGCAATCTCGTGACCGGGCTGCAGCAGCGCGTCCGTCGTTATGTGGAAGCGCAGGAACGCCACGTCGTCCAGCGACTCGTGCGCGACGTTCGAGACGCGGATGCCGAGCGACGTCGTGCAAAAGTTGGTGAACGAGTGCTCGGGGCAGCAGTGCGGGAAGCATCTACGCCAACCTCAGCGCCACGAACCCGATGGATGGAGGTACCGAATGTACTAGTTACGCGCGGCGAAACGCAGGCCAAATGAGCTACGACGATTCTACAATGGCTAGAGTGCGTACCTTGACACTGCCCGCGCGGTGCGTCCTAGCCAAGTGTGAGCGGTCCGAAGCCGTCGCAAGCACCGTCGTACCGCAGGTACTTGAGGCTGAAGAGCGTCGGCGCGTTGCACGTGCAGTCGTCCTTCATGAACGAGATTGTCCACGCCATGATCGTCTGCCGAGGTGTGGTCCAAAGGCCAACTAACGTTACGGGGCCGGCGCCGCGTATCCGGATTTGATCCGGCTGCGAAAACTGTCCGCGGGCTCTTGGTTTCAGTATGCACCGCCACCTGTCCAATCTCGCCGTATCCGGTCAATTCCCATGTTAGAGTAGTGCACAGACAATCTGCGCGCATAGCCACAAAGCGCATAGATACGTATGGTCCAAATACCACTCAGCTACTTCGGTCGTGTACTGCACAAGGCAATTATTACCCGCCACCAACGGGCGCCGGTGGAACAAGTCGGCTGAGATTGGTCCGGTGGTTTGGTCGATCGTTCAACGCAGACACGCGACCAGCGAGGTGCGTCAGGCTGCTGAAGCGACGTATTACCCAGACCAAGCTTTGGCAGAACCGAGCGCAGGGGCATCTGGGCGGGCGTTCTGGAAACCTCATCTCCGCCTGACACCACTGCCCAGCGACCGACCACCTATTTTTGTGGACGGTGCCACTGGCGCGATTGGCTCTGTCCTCGGACTGACGCCTCTCAGCGCTGCGAGCTCGCCCCGCGGTACCCTAGAGCGTTCAGAGTCAGGTGCCAACGGCCACACATGGCGAGAAATATAGAATACCAAATACCGTTGACAGGGATCCGACACTTGGAAACAGCAAGAATCGCGCGATGCTCGCGAAGATGCATACCCTCTGGAAGCGCACTATCGACGCTGCAAGGCCGACGACGCATGCAGGCGAGGACAGTGGACGAGCTACTGCTGATCGCTGTCGTCGTGGAGTCTCAGAAGTTTGGAGCCTTCGTGGAAGTCGCTCGTCTTGTCGCAGCTCCGAGTCAGCGCCACTGCGACGCTGACCTAAGCACTGGTCTATCGATGCACATGGGACGTCCACGCAGCACGCTGTCTGCACGGCTGTCATTCGTGGGTAAGTCCATAAGGGTCCGGTTACGAGTCAGAAAAGACATCTCGGGTCGGCCGATATCTCTACGGTCAGATGGCTCGTCAGATAATTGGTAGACACAATGTAGCGAGTAAAAGTAGCAGCCGTTTGAATTTCGTTGTGCAGGCTCTAGACAAGTAAGTACTCTAGCCGGGTACGAAGGTTAGGCTTCAAGTGCAGATCAACGAGTCGTGGAGGACGTTGATTGCATCGGTCGAGTGTTTTAGGTAGAAGCTGCCGGTGATCCTTGTTGTCCATGCTACGGAATGGCAGGCTCGACGATCTGTGCGATTACGGCCACGACCCATTGGACCCTAGCCCTGCGAACCACTAACACAAACATAGCAACATTAAGCAGTCGCAAGATTCTGGAGCATGCTGACAACTCGCCAACTCACGAAACCAAAGAATGCGAGATACCTCGGTCCAGAGTGCCTTACGGAGAAGCTCTCATCGTGCAAAATGGAAGCGCTATTGATGTCACGGCATCGTTCATGGCTCCATGTGTCGCGATGTCCGACTGCACCTTCTTTCAAAACAAGAAGCTGCCCCAGAAAATGCTCCGCTTCATTTGTGCGAACACTCAGAGCCTTTGATCGATAGGAGAGATAGGCCATTTGGAGATCTTGCGCTTCAATGCGTCAACCTGTGCGCATCGAATGAGTGTAGCAACATTCAAATGGGACGCGTGGCGTCCTCAAACAATAAGATCTGATTGGTACTAGATCATAGACAACGTTGTCGCTACAACTAGCAGTGTCATGGGCAGCACGATAGCCAATGGATCAGCCAGCCGCGACGTGCGAGGCCTGCGGTGTAGTGGCTACGGACGACTAGGTAAACGTAGACGATCGGCGTCCACCGAAAGAGTCACACGGCAAAACACCTCCAAGAGACGGTTGGATGCCATCGACACGTCGCAGTGCTCAAGATCAAGCTTGGTTCCTTGGCTGCTGGGCGCTCGTTGTCTTCCTGCGCCCTTGACAACGTTGACGAGGCGCAGCGGTTTCGACACCCAGCAAAAGGCTGGCGTTTCGGATCGAAATCCCAACGCCCAACGTCATCGCTTCGTGGTGCACTCGCGTGGATCAAGCGCATGGACTATGTACGATGCATTGAGCTACGACACGCAAAGGTGCGGAAATAGTGTGGCGCATCGAGTGCTGGTTGCGGGCGACGCACTGACGGACTACATTTTGGCCGTTGTATGGATGCTTGGCCGTTTTGATTAGACAACATATCCGGATAATTTACGCAATTGCACTAAATGAGTATACCTGGCGTGCAACTGCAGGCGCGGGTTTGTGGCGGTGTCGATGCAAGACGGTGGTAGCTGCTACAGATCTCGTCAACTCGCCGCCGCGGCGGCGGCTGCCTTCCTGTACCAGATACCAGTACGGTTTTGGAAGCCAATAATGACGTGATTGGCGCTGGTGCAAGGTTACGGACATTATGTCGATGCTATTTTTTGATATCTTTGGGCTTCGCTTGCACGGGTAGTCCTCCCAGTCTTGTGTACTGTAGCTGCTGTCAACCGACTGGTTCTCCTATGGCGATCACCAAGTGTCTATTGAAAGGAGAGGCGAGAAGAAGGACTGGGAATATATACACAGATGCATGAGGACGAATTGTTCGCAGAGAGGAATGCAGCAGCGCAAGCAAGCAACCCCCAAATGCTCTGTCCGCTCTGTCGAAAGCTCCAACTTGTGCTCGTTGCTGAAGTGAGTTGTATTTAGTTTAGATATAATTTACACTGAACTCGTTTGGGGTGGACTTTCGACTTCGAGCGTATTGTGCTAGACGGCCCAACTTGTGCTGTAGTACAGTTTATGTTTTCAAGGATCTACTTCTTGACGCGCATCTGGAAGGTCCAACGTCGTCGTTGAGCGGACGTGGAAGTGAGTTCCTTGGGCGACTACGTACTGTTCCGTGTTGCAGTTGGCGTCTGCTTAGACAGCGGCTCGATGGCGAAGGGTTCATTTGGGCTGGCGAGGACTGGTGATCACCAGCCCTCACCAGCCCAAATTAGACCCTTCGGGTGATCACGACCGACGCGCGCTGATGGCGAACCCATTGTGTACCCGACGGTGTGTGGTGATCCCAACTCGCGAGACAACGCAAGACTGAGGACCGACCTGACGCGTTGACGTTCACAGCATTACCGATGCATGTCGACACTCATTCGCAGGAGGTCGTAGAGTCTTCGCGGCGCTTCCTTTTCTAGTCGTCGCTTGCCAGTTGGGTGCTGATGGCTTCGTCGTCCGCCGGACGCAAGGACCTCTCAGAGCTTCCCGACGTCTCTCGAGCATGAGCGTAACCTGCAGCGCTGTTTAACACAACGTCACGTCGCATCGCATTCATCACAAGTAGAGTTGAATCAACGCTCCAAGGTTGAGGCATCGCGCCGCCAAGGCCACACCTTTGACAGCGGAATCCCAAAACAAATTGAACCATTGCGGGTCGTCAGGTACGAGCAGTCGATTTGTTTTCTGGAAACCGTGGTCGTGTTTGGCAGCGAGTGGCTGTCGCCGCTTCAACTGGCGCAGCTGCCCAAGGTGCGAGAATGATTCTGACCCCTCGGACCAAGGCAACTGCAGCTGTTGCACTGCCTACTCTCGTGGTCGTCCACATCGTTAGCTGTTGCCTCTGTATGCAAGCAGCCGCTGGGCCCACTTTCTCTCATGTCGTGGCGTGTGAGACGACAAGCCTTGCTTCCTCGATGCTGGATACAGGGATGCTGTAAGATAGCAGACTGGCAGCAGCACCGTCGCCAACAAGGAACGCCAGCCGCGTGATAGGAACATGGCCGATGGCGCAGGGTGACCAACGCATCGCAGCGGTGTCGAGTGTGCAGTTGCCGCTTCAACCATCTCCCGCCCTGCGATGATGTGGACATGCAACCATCGTGTCATCCGGGACGACATGTGTTATACCTGTTTAACGCACGCATTAGGATTGGTGCCCGCCACACTTTGGCGCGTGTCCACTGTTATAACACTCAGCGTACCCACGTGGGGTGTATCCGGAAGATTCGGTCGGCGCTGGGCATTCGCAAATTCGCCAGCATGACCACGTACGGCTCGACGGGCAGCGACAGCCTCATGAAGCAGGCGCGCAAGGCGCACACGGTCCTCGACGTCGACGCCTCCCGCGCCGTGCACCTCGCCAAGGCCGGCCACGCCAGCGAGGCCCACCTCGACAACGGCGGCCACATCAAGAGCGCGGTCTTCGGCGGCCTCGACGGTATCATCACGACCTTCGCGACCGTGACGTCGGTCGCTGGCTCGGGCCTTCCGCACGCCGTCATCTTGATCCTCGGTCTTGCGCACCTCGTCGCCGATGGCCTCTCGATGGGCAT